CGTTCGGGGAGTGGCCGCTGCAGCTGCAGTGGCCGCCGCCGGGCCGTGCCGCGGCTGCCGAGGAGGCAGCGGGGGTGTTTCAGTTGGTGCGGCTGTGGGTCTGCACCCCTAAGCGGCCCCCCCTGCGGCTGGCCGCGGCGCCGGTCCTGCAGATTGGCGGCGAGGACGGCGGCCGCTGGGAGTTTTCCTTGGCGGACGACGGCGGCTGCGCGCTGACGCCGGGGGTGCTGCATGCGATCCGGCTGCCGTCTGTGTACGCCGTCCCCGACAGCAGTTGCGGCGTCGAGGACGGGGCCCGCGTGTTGGACTGCGCACGCGGTCGCCTCTGTGCCGGGTGGCTCAGGCTCACTGGCTAGGCGGATGCCAGAGATGTAATATGATCAATTGCAGTCCTTTTGCGCCCACGAAGCGACTGGTTTGGATCTCTCTCGAGAAATCACCACGTGTAACCCGACATGTCACCGTGAAAGCGCCGCAGCAAATTACGCCCTTAAAATTACAGTTACTCTCGGAATCACAAGGTAGGCATCAGGGCACGGCGAGCGCTCCAAGCGCGACCCAGGTTGCGACTTGCCACGGGGCCCTCGGGTCGGGCATGTGGACCTCAAATTGGACCGAATGAAACATCTGGTCGAAGCTATCCAGCGGCGCGCGCCGGGAAGGCTCACCTCGGCGCAACTGCGCCACGCCCCGTCAACGCGCCCAGCGAACAATCAGCAACCCTGACATGCCCGCTTTGCCTTTCAAAGCAAGGCTCTGCCAACCCAGCCGTATTCTGAATCCCATTGATTTCTTTATGAACCCTCCACGCCGCGCCGCAGCCCCGCCGCCTCGACAGCCCCGCGACCAGCCTGCCCCGACCACCCACGTCCCGAGGAGCTTCATCAATCAGGCGACAACCGCTCCGCCCCAAGGCTCGCTCGCCAAAGTTTGGAGCAGCATCTCACTTGGCACTCTCGCCACTTTGTGGCAGAGAGAGCATCCTGACCCGACTAGACGCGCCAGGGCGTGCCGCCCGCGCGACCCAGCGCACGCGCTCGCGCCACAAGCCCTTCTCGGCCGCCGCGCCGAGCCGCAGCCGCGGCGGGCCGCCGAGCCGCCGCCAGGCACGGCCATCTGTAGCAGCGAGGGCGCCGCGTGAGCGATGGGCCGCCTGTTCACAGAGTATCTTGAGGGCAGGATCTACTGCTGCGGCGCCTGCAGGCAGCACATCGCAAAGCAGACGGTGCTGGTGTCCAGGTGCGGTGCAGTGGCGATCAAGGCGGCGCGCGGTTTGGCGCTTTGCGACGCGCGCACACGGGCAGGCGCGCACGTGCATCCTCGGCGGGCTCCCCACACATCCGCAGCGTGTTTTGGTGTTTGCCTTTTGGGACAAGCCGGTCCCATCTGTGCGTTTCAAAAACGGTTACAAAACTTTGCCCCACCCACAAAACAGGCAGTTCCATTCAAAGCTCGGCCGCGCCTACCTTTTTGACGACGTGGTCAACGTGGTGGCTGGCCCCCTGGAGGAGCGGTTGATGACTACGGGCATGCACATCGTCAGGTCAGTGCGGGGGAGGGGCCGGGGGGCCTGCTGGCCGCTGCGGGAGCCGCCAGGGGCCATGCGTTGAGGTGGCTCGATTGTGGCGCAGGTGTGGCAGCTCTGAGGGCCTGGGGGTAGATTGCGGCAGATGTTACAGGTGTGTCTGGCTTTAAATCTGGGCTTCAGGGTAGCACTTGCACTGCACATGTGTGCCCAGCTCCGAAGCGCACCTTTCTGAGCGAGCCACCACTACTTGTGCAATTCCAGGGACATTGCGTGCAGCCGCTGCCTCCAGCCGCTTGGATGGAAATACGTGAGTCACTGCTCGTCGGGCTGAATTCCTGCAACCAGACCGACTGATATGCCACACTGCGCACGTACGAACCCAGCCACACCTGCTGCGCACGCTGCAGCCAAGCCCGCTGCAGATGCGTGTCTCGCTGATCAGCCACGAAGGCCCACTGCGCCCCAGACTCCCCACTCAGCCGCCCCTGAAACCCCAAAGCCGACCGCACTCTTCACGCTGTGAACTTCAGGAGGAGGCGCACGAGGCCAGCCAGAAGTACAAGGAGAGGAAGTTCATACTGGAGCGGGTCCAGGTGGTCACCCTGTCAACCGCCAGCGCGGGCCCCGGGTCACCGGCATACAGGGCCCTGCCCACCGCCGACGAGAGCAGCGACGAGGACTGCGGGGTGTAGTGACGCCGCAATGACGTCATGATGACATCATGCCCATCCGTTGTTGGGGCCGCGGAGGCCGCACACTCCCCGGGCGCATCTGCCAGTCGCAGCTGTGTGCTGGCCCGCACCAGGAGCTGGTGTCACGGCTGCCTCTGGTGGGGTCATGTGCCCCACACATGCCCATTTGCTTGGAACCATGGCATGAGGGGGGCTTGTGGCCGCCTGCATTGCCACACGGACAATTGTTCACCCCCTGTCGGCGGCTGACCCGGGGCCTGGCACCCGCTGTATGTTGTGCAGTCCCCGTGAAATGCACTTTGCCCCTGCAAACAGCCTTCAGCTGCTGTGTGCCTGGCTGGCTGCTCACAACCTCGACACACATTGTATTGGTCGCAGGCGGTAAGCAGCCAGCTTCTGAGTACCCAGGACTCTGACTTGCAATGTCGCCTCAGCTCGTTCCAAGCCGGCCCGCGCCGCCGGACCGCGCGCGAGCCGCCCACCATTGTGTACATTAGCTACGTATCTAGCGCGCGGTCGACGGGGATGCCGCGCCAGTCACAATCACTTTTGTTTTAAGAAGGGCCCCTCGCCGCCAAGCCCCTCACCTGCAAACAGCTTGGCCTCTTTGATGTGCGAGCGTGAGTTCAGGGCGGCGGTGTCCCAAGCACTGCTGCAGCATTCAACGCGCCTGTGCGTGCACCCACAGCAGCACAAGCAGCAGGGCCGCTCGATTGTGCGCCCGCAACCGCACAATGCTTTCACAGCGCGCCAGCATGCGCGATTGCTGCCTCCCCTTCTGCCGAGCACCACTTGGCAGACAACCCATTTGATACCCGCTTGAGGATCATAGTGGTTCCATGCGCTGCATTCCTGGGAAGGAGAATCAATGACAAGATGAGCAGAGCGCGCGGCACGCGTTGCAGGAGAGCATTCTTTTTTGCGGCACGATTTCAAGCGCTGGCGTTTGTGGCAGTGCGCTGGCGGCGTGGGCAACACAGAATCTTTCAGACATATCACCTGCCACCCGTCCGCAATGTACATGTATAGTTTTGAGGGCGGATGGCCAGCCAGCATACGTCTATCCCAGACGCAAGCCCTTTTGGGTTGATGGACTTTGCACCCTTTCTTGTCGCATACCTGTAAATATAATTCACACATGTCTCACTTTTGGTGGTGCTTCAGTGCGATCGACCTGGCCCCAGGTGCTGAGGGGGCATGTGTGCAAATGGAGTCACCCGCGCGTCACGGTCACCCTGGGTGTGCCCGTGCGTTGGTGGCAGACTGACATCGACTTGCTTTAGCTTGCCATATTGGCCCTGTGAGAGGGTGACGGCCGACTACAAAACCAAGGTAGTTCAGGCTTACTTCTATACCGGTCTAAAACGAATGCTCGGTGGTGTGCGAGCGACGCGGATGCGAGGACTGTGGTCTCAGACCTGTTGGTCGGTGATGTCCTCCGGGTGACGTGCATCGGGCCAGCCGGTGCACCGGGTGACGCGCATCGGGCCAGCCGGTGCACTGCAGCAGTAAGGGAGCATACAACCTCGAGCGGTTAGCCCTGACAAGTGCGTCGCGCTTGCCTTATATGATGTATGCTGCCACCAGAGGTAACCGTATGCACGCACGTGCGCTCGAGCGTGGCTCATTTCGCACGCGGGTAAGAGAGCATTTGTGTGCAATTTTATCATAGTATGGGCTGTCGTTAGAGTGCTTTGCACGTGACACCGGCGATGACGAAGGCATCTGCATTGCAATGCTGACACGAAATCCGGACAGCAACTGTCGGATCAGACTTCCTACATCACCGGCTTCAAGACTCTCTGTTGCAGCACGATTTGTTTTATGAGTCCGCAATTTCCGTGCTTCATCCCTGCATTCCACTGCATCTCAGAAGGTTTCATACCCCTTTGGGCCCATGTCGGCAGGTATGGCCGCAACAGGCTCACAGGCTCCGGTGGGTAGGGCCTCTTGCTGCATCCGCAGGCCCCTGCTGTGCAGCGGCATCCGCGTACGGATGGCGTCGGCGTTGGCGCGTCCCACATCGATGACCCCGGTGATGATCTGACGAGGCACACGCCGCACGCCTCCGGCCGGGAACGCTTGGGCCGCCGCTGTGGCTGGCGAATGCACAGCCATGTCGCACAGACGCCTATGCAATCTGTGGCACCTTGGGATCGTGGTCGAGGGCAGAAACAGCGCTACTCACTCGGCAGTCACTCTGCGTGTCATCAGCCCTTGTCATGACTCCTCCAGTGTTTCACGATCAAAGCCCCTCTCATACAGCCTCGCCCCCCTCCCCCGCCACACAGCTGGGGGGCACCCGTGTTTCCGCAAGCCCCGCCGCTGCCGCCGGCCGCCCCGCGCTGCCGCCGCTGTTCGATGACAAACAGGTGCGGGGGCGGGCGCAGGAGCCAGTGACGGCGGCAGCCTCCTGCTTGGTGATCACAGCAAAATGCGGACGTCTGCGCGCAAACGGAAGTGCCTCCGAGGTCCCAGCAGCTGCGTTGAGAATTGTGATGGCTCCCACTGAATGTCGTCATGCCTCATGGGCCCCAGTCCCCATCCTGCGGCGAGGCCCTTTCCATCTGTGGATCAAACCTTTGTTTGATTCCAGGCATCCAGGCATCCCGCGCTTGCTTGCCGCAGGCCAAGGTGCAGCGGCTGATTACCGCCAAGGAGAAGAGTGGGAAGACGTTCAGCCAGATTGCAGACGAGGTGCGAATTTTTGTTGCGTTGCGAAATTGTGTTGGAGAGAGGTGGCGCTGGGGCGGTGGTAGGACGACGCAGGCAGTCAGGGG